CCAAGCTTGGTCTTGATCAGGGTCGCAAGTGGTCTGTGTCTGCACAAGCATTTTGAAGATAACCACACCAAACCACACAGGACGTAAAGTGGGTCCTGGGGGTTATGTGTGCCAAATTTGGTCCAGGTCCATTACCCGTGCACGTCACAGTGGCCTGTGAAAGTGGCAGCCAATCAGAACGCTGCCACATACATACACTTCTCTCCCTCCCGCTGCATACAAGCAATCTCTTTTATTATATACTAGCTTGGGGACCCGGCGGTGCACGGGTTATTTGAGAAAGTCATTGTGTGCCAAGATTGTGTGTTCTTTATCAGTTATTTTTGTGGCTTGCAGCGGTCTACGGAAGTGAGTGAGGCACTGCGAATCCCATGGTCCATCCTCCTTCAAATAGCATCAGGATGTAGAGTGGGTCATGGAGGCTCTGTCTGCCATGTTTGGCCTTTACAAATAATTATTGCGAGTTGCAGTGGTATCATGAAATTACTCAAGATACTGCAAGTCCCATCATCCATGGTCCACCCTCCTCAAAACTGCAGCAGGATGTAGAGTGGGTCATGGGGGCTCTGTGTGCCAAGTTTGGTCTTGTTCATTGGTCATTGGTGAGGGTCGCAGCGGTTTCAGAAAGTGAGATATGGTACAGCAAGTCCCATCATCCATGGCCCACCCATCTCCAAACTGCATCAGGATGTAGAGTGGGTCATGAGTGCTCTGTGTGCCAAGTTTGGGGCTGGTCTGTGATTTGTAGTAGCTACAGTGTTCTGTGGGAAGTGAATTGGGTGAAGGTACTGAAAATCCCATCATTCGTCCCCCATCCTGCCTTAAACCTTCACCAGGTTGTAAAGTGGGCCATTGGGCCTCTGTGTGCCAAGTTTGGTCCTGATCCGTCATGGGTGTAGGCCACAGTGCTCTAAGGAAGTAAGTGAAAGTACTGTAAGTCCCATCATCCATGGTCCATCATCACTCAAATTGCACCAGGATGTAGGATGGGGTGGATCTTGGGGGGGGGGGGTCTGTGTGCAAAAGTTTGGTCTTGTTCTGTCATTGTTGGGGGCCACAAGGCGTTTTGGACTCCCAACTCCCACCATTCCTGACAGCCTCAGACCCTTTCCTTTTCCCTCTCAGCCACGTTAGAATGTTGAGGCGGGTCAATCAGAAACCATATGCAAATTATACCACAGTGGCAGCCAATCAGAACTCTGCCACATACATACACCGCCCTCCCTCCCGCCGCATACAAACTTTCTCTTTCATTATATACAGTGTGTCCCTCGCTGTTTCGCTGTTCACTTTCCGCAGACTCACGAAAGATATTGAAGAGAAATATTGACAAGCTGGAATGTCCACAGGAGGGCGACTCAAAGGATCAAAGGTCTGGAGAACAAGCCCTGTGAGGAGCGTCTCAAAGAGCTGGGCATGTTTAGCCTGAAGAAGAGAAGGCTGAGAGGAGACATAATAGCCATGTATAAATACTAGGCCTGGGCGGTTTCGTTCGTTAATTTTGTAATTTGTTAAATATTTGTTAATTTTAGCAATTACAAAACGATTACAAAACTTATTTTTAAACCCGGAAGTGTTTTTAAATATCGAAACGGCATGCGCCAAAAATTTTTGTATTTCTGTCCATTTCGGACAGAAGATGGCTAGATGCTTGCTGGCAGCTCTCCTCTCTCTCCTCTGCCAGTCAGAGCCTGAAAGAGGAGGAGGAGGAGGAGAGGGCAGGGAAGGCGCCGGCTGAGCAAGGAGGCCCGTCGCTTCGTTCTCCCGAGGAGGAGAGGGCGGGGAAGGCGCCGGCTGAGCAAGCGAGCGAGAGGGCGAGCGACCCTCAGCGGGAAGGCGGCCCGTCCCTCCTTCCTCACCTTTGCGGTGGGTGTGCTTCGTTCTCCCAATTCCTTAGCGGAGGGCTGGGCTAGATGGCCTTTGGGGAGCCCTTCTCCCAATTTCGCATTGCTTCGGAGGAGCCGGGCCCGACTCGGCGGCAGCGCTTGAGGGCCCGCCAGAGTGAGTGCCTGCCTTCTCTCCTTAATAATAATTTCTCTTCCCTATTCTACTAAATTAATAATTAAATTAAAAAATATTGAAAAAATATTGAAAAAAAAGGGCGCCATCTTTACAAAATGTTTTGTAAATATTAACGAAATTTCGTAAATACCGAACTTTTTTAAGGGAAAATTTTGTAATTATTTTAAATATCGAAACAAAAAAAAAACCCCAAATACAAATCGATTTTAGAAACAAATTTTTGCGTTGTTACTCAGGCCTAATAAATACATGAGAGGAAGCCACAAGGAGGAGGGAGCAAGCTTCCTTTCTGCTTCCCTGGAGACTAGGACACAAGGGAACAATGACTTCAAACTACAGGAAAGGAGATTCCACCTGAACATAAGGAAGAACTTCCTGACTGTGAGAGCCGTTCAGCAGTGGAACTCTCTGCCGTGGAGTGTGGTGGAGGCTCTTTCCTTCTTTGGAAGCTTTTAAGCAGAGGCTGGATGGCCATCTGTCAGGGGTGATTTGAATGCAATATTCCTGCTTCTTGGCAGAATTGGGTTGGACTGGATGGCCCAGGAGGTCTCTTCCAACTCTTTGATACTATGATTTTAAGGAGAGAGATAGTGTACGTATGGAGAGTGGCAGACCTGAGGAGTCTGTTCCACCCGCCATTCTCTTCTCCATCGGAAGGAGAGAGAGAGTGTACCTATGGAGACTGGCAGATCTGTACGGGAGCAGCCTGGTCACTTTGGGGCTTCTTTCTCAAGGGAAGAGAGAGAAGTGCGCTTTTGGAGTCTTGGATTTTGTGCAGGGAGCCGGGTTCTGCTGGATGGAAAACAGAGATCTGGTCCTTGGCATTGTGCTTAGGGAAAGAAGTTTTGGCATTTTGACATTATGGCGTTAATGAAGTTTTGGAACTGTATGTTGACAGGCTGCAAGAAAGCGGGGTCTGGACTAAGAGATTTATTTATTTATTTATTTATTAATGCGCTTGTATACCGCTAATATCTCAGCCTAAATCGGCGACTCATTGCGGTTTACAACACTTAAAAAACAACAATATTCAGTTTAAAAGCATAAAACACATATACAATACAAATTATTGGGCCACCAATAACCATCCAATGCATCTCGTAACTGGAGTCGCAATCCAAATTCATTGTCCATGATTACCAGTCCTTTAGTCATCATAATTCGTTGCAACGGATTAACCGAATGCTTGTTTAAACATCCATGTCTTCAATCTTTTCCAAAACACCATCAGCGAGGGGGCTGATCTTACCTCTATGGGGAGGGTGTTCCAAAGCCAAGGGGCCACCACAGAAAAGGCCCTGTCTCTCGTTCTCGCCAGCCGCACTTGTGAAGCCGGCGGGATAGAGAGCAGGGACTCCCCAGAAGATCTTAGGGTACTGGTGGGCTGATAGGTTGAGATACGTTCGGATAGATAAGTTGGGCCAGAACCAGTTAGGGCTTTAAAGGCCAACGCCAGCACTTTGAATTGAGCCCGGTAGCAGATCGGCAGCCAGTGGAGCTGGTGCAGCAGAGGAGTTGTATGCTCCCTGCGCCGCGCTCCTGTTAGTATCATGGCTGCTGCCCGTTGGACTAATTGGAGCTTCCGGGCTGTCTTCAAAGGCAACCCCACGTAGAGAGCGTTGCAGTAGTCAAGACGGGATGTAACCACAGCATGGACTGCCGTGGCCAAGTCAGACTTCCCAAGGTATGGGCGCAGTTGGCACACGAGTTTTAACTGTGCGAATGCTCCCCTGGTCACCGCCGAAACCTGGGGTTCCAGGCTCAGCGATGAATCCAGGATCACACCCAAACTGCGAACCTGCGTCTTCAGGGGGAGTGCGACCCCATCCAGCACAGGCTGTAACCCTATGCCCTGTTCGGCCTTGCGACTGACCAGGAGTACCTCTGTCTTGTCTGGATTCAATTTCAATTTGTTCGCCCCCATCCAGACCGTCACAGCGGCCAGGCACCGGTTCAGGACTTCAGAGATGCTTCTCCAAGGAGGGAGAAAAGGAGATGGTAATATTTGGATGCATGTGGATGAATGTGTGTACATGTGTGTGAATGCTGAGTGAAAATGTCATTCCCCTTTGTTTGTTTGTTAACCAATGTAACTGTGAATCCAATGTAGTTGCATAGAATCTGCCTGTCTGTCCAATGTCATTCTTGGTCTAAATGTTTTTCTGTAATCTGATGTACCTTCTAGAAATCTCAATCAAAAGAACCTATGCTTTAAAGTTATTGAGAAGTCATTCATGACATAATTCCAGGAGTGGCATGTGATGTCTGTAGATATTCCACGTTTCACAGGCGCATAACAGGGTTGGAAGAAGAATAGCTCTTGGTCTCCCTGTGGATGTCCCGGTCCTCAAACACTCGGCACTCGTGGAGTTCAGGATCTTCGGTGTCAATGTTGACTTTATGGAGAGGTTGCTGCCAAGGGAGCAGAAATTCTCCACATTTTCTAATGTTACACCATTAAGCTGTATTTCTGGCATTGGAGAAGGATTGGCTGGTGACTGCTGGAAGAGCACTTTGGATGATATACAAATGGCCAAGCTGTCTAAGGGACTTTTGCTGCTCCCCAATAGAAGGAGCGCAGGTGGCTAAATATCTTTTGACCAAAAATGGGCAACAGCAATGGCATTGTCTGTAGTCCCCAACAACTCTTTCTCCGTGCATGAGGCAGGGCATAGTGAAGAAGCATACAGATGCGGAGTTGTCTGTTCTGCTCCACAATCACATAAGGTGTGGGATTCTTTTAGGTCGTGCCAGTTTGCCAGGATGTCTTTTGATCTGCCCACTCCACTTCTGAGTCTGTTCAGGGACTTCCAAGTTGCCCGTTCTTGGTTTGCCCCTCGAGAAAGACCCTCCCACATGGGAGGCCATCCAGTTAGGGTTTCCTGGTCTAGCTGCCCAGAGGGAAGCTCTTGCTATTGCTGGGGAGACGCCAAGAGAAGTGGCATTTCTCATAAAGCTTTTCCTTGATTTGAGTCCACCGGGAGGAGGCTGGCAGCCATGTAGTGGATGGCTTTCACAATCAATATAATAATAACAACCTTTCACTTCTTTCTTAACCAGGTAAATGAGGATTCTATGCAGCTACCTCTTAGATTCACTAAAGAACCAATAATATAAGAAGAAATCCTCTCAAGGTGATGATCTTGCAGAATTCTTGACTTCACAGATAAGAAAGGAAAATACGAAGAGTCAATTATCCAAATAACAATTACACACCCATATCACTCTTGACATGGAAGAGAAAGCATTTAAATGCCTGGAGTGTGGGACAAGTTTCACTTGGAGGGATGATCTGCAGCAGCATGAAAGAACTTCTACTGGAGAGAATCCCTACAAATGCCTGGAGTGTGGAAAGAGCTTCCCTCTAAGTTCAGGTCTACATTTGAATCAAAAGACTCACACTGGGGAGGAAACATACACATGGTTGGAGTGTGGGAAGAACTTCACCCACAGTTCAAGTCTACGATCGCATCAAAAGACTCACACTGGGGAGAAACCCTATAAATGCCTGGAGTGTGGAAAGAGTTTCTCTCGGACTGAAAATCTACGTTCACATCAAAAGACTCACACTGGGGAGAAACCCTATACATGCCTGGAGTGTGGACAGAGCTTCGCTCGGAATACAACTCTACATATACATCAAAGAATTCACACTGGGGAGAAACCCTATACATGCCTGGAGTGTGGAAAGAGTTTCTCTCGGAGTGAACATCTARGTTCACATCAAAGGACTCARACTGGGGAGAAACCCTTTAAATGCCTGGAGTGTGGAATGAGCTTCACTGAGAAGGGAAATCTACGATCACATCAGAGGACTCACACTGGGGAGAAACCCTTTAGGTGCCTGGAATGTGGAAAGAGTTTCTCTCGGAGTGATCATCTACGTTCACATCAAAGGACTCACACTGGAAAGAAACCCTTTAAATGCCTGGAGTGTGGAATAAGCTTCACTGAGAATGGAAATCTACAATCACATCAGAGGACTCATACTGGGGAGAAACCCTTTAAGTGCCTGGAGTGTGGAAAGAGCTTTACTCAGAGTGGAATTCTACGTAGACATCAAAGGACTCACACTGGGGAGAAACCCTTTAAATGCCTGGAGTGTGGACAGAGCTTCACTGAGAATGGAAATCTACGTACACATCAAAGAATTCACACTGGGGAGAAACCCTATACATGTCTACAGTGTGGACAGAGCTTCACTCACAGTGGAAATCTACGTACACATCAAAGGACTCACACTGGACAGAAGCCCTATAAATGCCTGGAGTGTGGACAGAGCTTCACTGAGAAAGGAAGGCTATGTACACATCAAAGGACTCACACTGGGGAAGAGCCCTATAAATGCCTGGAGTGTGGAAAGAGCTTCACTGAGAATGGAAGTCTACGTTCACATCAAAGGATTCACACAGGGGAGAGACCCTTTAAATGCCTGGAGTGTGGACAGAGCTTCGCTCAGAATTCAAGTCTACGTTCACATCAAAGGATTCACACTGGGGAGAAACCTTATGAATGCGTAGAGTGTAGACAGGTCTTCAGTCGGAGTTCACATCTACGTAAACATCAAAGGACTCACACTGGGGAGAAACCCTTTAAATGCCTGGAGTGTGGACAAAGCTTCACTCAGAGTGTCCATCTACATTTGCATCAAAGGATTCACACTGGGGAGAAACCCTATACATGCCTGGAGTGTGGAAAGAGTTTTGCTTGGAGTAAAAACCTACGTTCGCATCAAAAGACTCACACTGGGGAAAAACCATATAAATGCTTAGAATGTGGACAGAGTTTCACTCACAGTTCAACTCTACGTAGACATCAAAGGATTCACACTGGGGAGAAACCCTATAAATGCCTGGAGTGTGGAAAGAGTTTTGCTTGGAGTTCACTTCTACGTTCACATCAAAAGACACACTGGGGAGAAACCCTATACATGCCTGGAGTGTGGACAGAACTTTGCCCTGAGTTGAGATCTACACACACATCCGAGGACTCACACTGGGGAGAAACCCTGTGCATGCCTGGAGTGTGGACAGAGCTTCAGTGAGACTGGAAATCTACATATAGACATCAAAGGACTCACATTGGGGAGAAACCTGATAAATGCCTAGAGAATGGACAGAGCTTCACTCAGAATGGAAGTATACATACACTTCAAAGGGTTCACGTTGGGAAGAAACCCTATGCATGCCTAGAGTGTGGACAGAGCTTCAGGCGTAGATCAGGTCTAGGTTCACATCAGTGAACTCACCCTGGGGAGAAACCCTACGGCATGTGAAAAGAGCTTCTTGGGGAGTAAAGGTCAAGGTATTCCCCTGACATTAAGTTCAGTCGTGTCCGACTCTGAGACTCTGTGCTCAACTCCATTCCTAAGCTGAAGAGCTGGCGTGTTCCATAGACACCTCCAAGGTCATGTGGCCAGCGTGACTGCATGGAGTGCCATTACCTTCCCGCCAGAATGGTACCTATTGGTCTACTCACATTTGCATGTTTGGCAGAACTACTAGGTTGGCAGAAGCTGGACTAGCAGCGGGAGCTTTCCTTGCTCCCCGGCTTCAAACCTGCGACCTTTCAGTCAGCAAGTTCAGCAGCTCAGCAGTTTAACCTGCTGCACCACCGGGGAGGGTAAACCAACCCCATATAAGACATTCAAGATATGTATATAGTATAATAATATATAGATATATTCTTCATATAATTTTTACTGTATTGTAATAGTAATAATGATTATAATATAACAACAACTATATTTTTGTACCTGGAAACGGTAGCTAAGGAACAAGGGCACGGGGTGTCTAGTTTCCTGCAAAGCTGCTCCATGTGGTTCGTCACAGAGGTCATTATCAGGAGGTTCTATTTCCGCTGCTATCAATAGTAGGAAAAAATAGAGTGTGAATAAGTTAATTGATAAAAGGAAAAGAAGGAGATTTGGAAGGACTTTATGGCACTTGGATTTTAGTAGTGTCCATTTTAATTACTATCGTTGCATTTTTGTTGAATATCACATTAAGCTGGGTTTTGTCTTCTGTAAGTGTTGTTTATGCTTTGATATTGTGCCGTTACTAATATCGATATATTTTACTTGTAATGTATGTGTTTCACAGCACCAACATGTGCTGTTTTGTAAGGGGGGGCATCAATAGTTACTATTTTCAAAGGCTTTCATGGCTGGAATCACTGTGTTTTTGTAGGTTGTAGGTTTTTCGGGCTATACGGCCATGTTATAGAAGCATTCTCTCCTGACGTTTCGCCTGTATCTATGGCAAGTATCGTCAGAGGTTGTGAGATCTCGCAGTTATTATTTGTTTATTTAAGAAAAGAGGGACAATAGAAGATGCTTATTCTTTATTTACTTACAGTATTTATATTCCACCCTTCTTACCTTGAAGCGGACTCAGGGTAGATCACAATGCACATATACATGGCAAACATTCAATTCCATTAGACATACAACATATATAGACCAACTCAGAGACAATTTAACATTCCAGCTTTCTGGCTTCACTCAGTCCTTGATGGAGTACTTCCTCATTCTTCTGCACACTGCTGGAAGCTTTTATGGTGTCGTAAATTAAATTAGCCTCCCAGCATAAAACAATACCTAAATTTCCTACTCAACAGATGTGCCTGTCTTTCGGGCTACATGGGTCAACAGCAAGCTAGACTATTAATGGTTGGGAGCTCACTCCGACCTGGGCTGGCTTCAAACTCATGGCCTCTTGGTCAGTAGTGATTTAATGCAGCTGGCTACTAACTATCTGCTCCACAACCCTGCATTGATAAAAGAAATCAATGCAGATTCTAAAGGATCATCTGTTACTCCGCTCCGAGTGCCCCGGGGAGATAGAGCGGAATACAAATAAAATATTATTATTATTACTCTTGTTAGAGAAGATGTACTTTCTTCTCTTACTTTACTTCCTTCCTATGCAAAGGATATGCATAATGATCCTCTCCCCCTGCCATGTCTTGAAAGAGATACAATAGACTCATGTGTAGAATTAGTTCACTAACATGGTTCCACAACAACAACAATAATAAACTTGTATTCCACCCTATCTCTCTCTCACTCTTGCTGAGGGGACTCAGGGCAGATTCCAACATGATAGCACAGCTGGTTAATCACCTACAATAAATCACTGCTAACCAAAGGTGGCAAGTTTGAAGCCCAAGTCAGAATTGAACTCCTGACTGTTACATAGCCCAGCTTACTGTTCCCCTAAGCAGTTTGAAAACACCTGTAAAATATGTGATTAGAGAAATTAAGGACTGCTTAAAGTGGGGAGGTTAATTTATGACACCATAACAATGCCGGAGAGCAAGGAGGAAATGCTACGACCAAAAGTCTTGGCATCATAGTGGGCGAAGCGACAGCTCCCCCGTGGCCGCATCGAGCAACCTCCAGGATCCGAAGTGGAAGAAACTCCTGAATGACCTCTGTCTGTCTTTCCGTCTTGCATGTCAAAAACGGCATTGAATGTTTGCATTGTGTATGTATGCATTGTGCTCCGCCCTGAGTGAGAAGGGCGGAATATAAATACTGTAAATTAAATAAATAAACAAATAAATCACAATGGCAAGCATTTGATGCCTACATAAAACACACGGTACTAACATAAAATCTCAGAAAACCTCCAAATATGTAAATAACATTAAAACCTAACCTCAAATTAAAGCCTAACTGTTGCATCCCAGTTCAAGAAACAAGACCATAAGATTAAATCCACCACTCTGGACTGTAGGAAAAGCA